AGCGGACAGCTAGTGCCTATCCCTTTGTGAGCGCGCGCGACAATCAAAAAATTGGCAATCGCGGTTTGGTGGACGGAAGGGGGGGAGAGGGAGAAACTACCTCTCGCTGCTGCTGCTGCCGCCGCCGCCGCCGCCGCATGTCGATCCGCCGACAGTCGGCGAGCTCACAATAAAAAACGATAGATGGAAATGATTATTTTGCGGTGTGTGAATTCATGGTTCGTCCGTTTGTCCGTCCGTTTGTTCGTTCGTTCGTTCGTTCGTACATGTTCGTTTTGCTCTGCAGTCGATGTCGCGTTATCGCGGTCATAAATACGTTCCCGATGTGGCGGGAAGGACATCAGCCGTCCGGTGAATGGATGGGTCACTTGACTCCGTAATGTTACCGTGATACCACGAGTGTAAAAGCCACGGGGGAAAGAAGAAAACGCGCGCGCGACACTGCAGGCCGGGAGAAGGGGAGAGGACGAGGAAAAGAGAACGAGGAAGAGGAGGCAGGGGGCAGAAAGTGGAAGTAACGAGAGATAACGCACGGAAGCGCGCGCGCGCGAAAGGGTATAAAACTAAAGCGCTATTACGACATAACTTCCGTAATATCGAGCATAAACACCGGCACGACGGCGACGCCACGACACAACGCGCCGCTTGCTCTCTTCCCGGTTCGGGAGACACGAAGCCGGGAAGAGAAGAGCTCTCTCGCAACCTTAATTCCCGCGACTACGCAAACATTAGCTGCTCGTAAGTTTGTTGTGCGCCGAGTCGCGTATAAGTTATGCCTCGGGATAACGCTCGACATAAGCGCTAAGTGTGTGTGTCTGTGTGTGTGTGTGTGTGTGTACGTTTTAGCGTAGGGGAAAACTTGACGTCCAATTGCGTGCACGCCGGTGCAATGTAATATTCAGCTGCCGCAACAGTTCACTCGTGAAGAGAGGAGAAGAAGCGCCAGGGCGCGCTCTTGAGCTATCCTTGTCGCGATGTCGCGTATAACTCGGTACACTTGTTCCTTTCTTTTTCACACTGGCGCGCGCGCGCGCGCGCGCGACAACCAAAACGACACGTAGGAAGCGGAAGGATTCGCGAACACACGTCGTGTATGTACACCGGAAGCAGAAGAGTGATGAATAGTCCCGCTAAGTTCTGTCACTTACATTTTTCACGTTTCAATTTCTGCACTTGCGCGCGCGTCCCGCATGTGTCCGCTCGGGAGATCCTCCGAGGAATTTCGCCGGTCGAAAGAAAAATGTTCGTGCTCGGTCTTTTTTCCGGCTTTTTTCCTCCTTCTTTCTTTCTTTTTTTTTTGTTTTTTGTTTCGGTTTTTTTTTTTTTTTTTATACACAAAAAGTACCGCTGTCTCCGTTAGTCGCGCGCAAAACAATTAAGGATTGAAGCGCGCGCGACCCACATTCTCACGATCGTTAAAGTAATTAAAATATTTTATTTATCGAAAATTAGAGAAAGAAAACGAGACGAAAAATTGAATTGTCGTCTTACAGAAACGAAACCAACTTATTTTTTTTGTACTCTTTTTGTTTCTTCATCGTCGTCTGTCTCAGCGCGCGCATTAATGTAATTGCGCACGCAGTCTGTAGTTTCCAGTAGTATCATTATACTCGGGCTCTGCCCGAGTTTTTCTTTCCCTTTCCGGAAGTCCCCTGCGATTAGTGCGCGTATGTAGCCACACGTGACGCGGACTGTTGTGCCGCCGCGCCGGACGCGGAACCGCAATAATAGCGGTTACACGCGATCGTTAGTTGTCATTTCTCGATCGAGCGTTCGAAACGAAAAAGGGGGACATTTTACCGCAATGATGATGATGGAAAGTCTGAAAGTTTACGCTCGATTAATTTTCCATTTCAATATAATCCGACTTCGATTCATGTAAAGCGATACACGCGCTTATCGACTCGCTCTTGCGTACACCGCCTAATGTAATACCCATTATCATTTATAATAGAAATGTAATATTACTGATGATTATATTCGTAACCATTTATATGCGATTGGCTACGCAATAAATTATTTATCCAGTGATTATGCGTCCCTTGTAATTGTTAATAATGCATCGTCTAGAAATTGCCAGTCAAAATTACAGACGTCCAGATCTCTTCCGGTGGAATTAGCGCCAAGTGTGAAAATAAAACTGAAGTTGTAGTTTTTTAGCTAGTTAAAAAAAAAAAAAGACTAATAATTGACGCAAAATGTAAATTGTTTGTGTCTGATATGAAAGAAATAAACACACATTATTGGATGAAAGATTTCTTTCGAAACGAAGGAATACAAAGAGAGATTCTTGAGCGTTTGTTTTCAAATGATTCGATAAACAAGAGAAGAAAGCAGTTTTTATTTAAGAGAATAAAATTGTGCTCTTGTGTTAATATTGCAAATTTTATTTACTTGGATTTTTCCATTAAAATGGATACAGAGATCCGACTCGCGCAGAATAATATTGTACCATAAAGCTGCTTTTAATCATTATTTTATATTGTACCTTTCTGTTACTCCGATTATTTATCACGGAGGAAAAATAAATATTTCACGTTGCGCTGTTACATTTTATTAAAGCTCTCCATTCATCTCTGCGAATATTATTTATTTAGCGGAAGTTCGCGGAAGAGGAAAGAGACAAGTACTCTCTGTCTCTCTGCCTCTCTCTCTCTCTCTCTCTCTCTCTCTCTCTCTCTCTCTCTCTTCTCTTTACGAGATTTTTTTTATAACAATCATGAATAATTCATACGGACCGAAGTGCAGCGGGCGTGATTCCTCCCTTTTTTTTCGCACTCGTGGTACCTGTGTACCATCGTTTTGAGAAAAGAATGTTAAGCGGCTTTGGCGCAAAACTGCGCGGATTTCCATACGGCACTCGTATTCGATCTCAACAACCATTGTCAGTTCGGGTGCGCGCAAAGCGAACCGCGCGATCGGTGTCAAGGATTTTCACGGAAAAACCGATTGTCCCCGGCTAAGCCTAAACCGACCCTAAACCGTCGCGAGAGAAAACATGCCGACCTGGATTTTTTTTCTCATCCAACACCTTGCGTCTTGGTTGTCTCGCGGTTGAGAGGCGAGACAAGAAAATCTTCGTTAAGCAAATCGCCGATTTGTTCGAGAACACGAATAATCGCGCTTGACGGATTTGCATGATCATAAGTTTCTCTTCGGGACGAGATTCCTCCCTTGAAAATTGGGCCGAAATTTATACGCGTCTCTGCTCTCGTGCGCCTTTTTTTTTTTTTTTTTGTTTAGCGTGACGGACAAAAAAGTAATAGATGTTCGCCTAGCACACTCTAATCTGCACGCGACGCGGCGGCACGGGGGGAAGAAAGAAGGGAAAACAAGGGCGTAACTAAGTGGTCGAAGCGTGTTTAGCATTTAAACTCTCCTTATACAGGATATCCTTTGTATTCACACATAATAGCAGTTTCTTCTCAGTTTCGCACTCTAGATTCATCGTTCGAATTTTCTTTCACATTGGTTTTGAGATTTTTCTATTGAGGAACAAGGAGATAAATGTTTTTCCAATTTACGCACTTTTCTTTCGTAAACATGAAGATTAAGTAAACATTAAGATCTTAGTTCTAAAATTTTTGTTTTTTTCATGTTTAACCTTAATCCTGCAAACATTTTTTTAAGTACTTATCCCATATAATCTAACCTAACCTAACATTTATGTTTGACGCAATGTTTTTATTGGTTTAAAACGTCGCATAAACTGTAAAAATTTATGGAGCGCGCGCGCGCGCGCTTTATTCACCATTCTACTTTGAGGAAAACATCAGTTTTTACACACCGAAAAAATTATATTCTTGTAAGTAGAAGATTTTATACTTAAAAAATCTTCTTAAAGATTTTAGATGATATTCTTCTGAAATTAAGAATATATTCTTTATTTAAGAATATAGTCTTTTTTCGATAGTGAGATATATATATGTTTTTCTATAGAGGCTTTTTATATTCTAATCAGTATATATTCTTATCAATATTACTATTTAGAGGATTTTCCTCTTAAAATAAGAAACTCTTCTTGGCGCCTATTTTAGTATAAAATATACTTAAAGTAAGTGGGATATCCTCAAAACAAGAATACAATTTTTTCGGTGCACATATTCTTTATTTTTTAGAAAATTTCCTTCATTAAATAATCTCATTTTCAAAAATCGGTCGGACATCGATGTCAGGAGTTAGGGTTTGTGAGATTAGGGTTAAATGTTTTTTTTACAAGGATTGTCTAATAAAATATCTATCTAATAAAATATCTATCTAATAAAATATTTATTTAATAAAATATCTATCTAATAAAATAAAATTATCTAATAAAGTATCTATAAACGTTTAATAAATATACATTGGCACATGGCGAAAATTTGACCAAATTTTTTTATTCACTTCTTCCTCTCCCCTATGGTTGAATCGCCGGAAAGGTGCGGACACGGTGTGTGTACCTATATATAGACCGCGACATGCAACACGCACACGCTCGTGAAAATCGGCGCTGAACGATTACACGGACCCACCTACTGACAGATTGCTTGCGTAGCTGACGTGAGCACATCTGCTCTGTTTTATTTTTCCCGATTCGCGCCGGGAACTATTATTTTCTTAACGATACCGAGCGATATAAACCATCATTGGGTATAGCATGGGGGATGATGGCCGTTCCGATGAGCATCTACGTTTCGAAAACGACTCGATAGTCGGAATTCTCGTGATACAACGGTGGTGCTTTCGCTCTATGATATTATCGGTTAAAAGCGGGGTACGTTACCGAAGAATAGATAGTCAAACAACAGATACGGTAAGAGAATGTCGGTACTTTATCATCCATTAGGGTAACGTTCCCGTTTCGAAAGTGTGCACTTTACGTCGAATCGAGGAATCTTTCACGTCTCTATGCGTGCGCGCTCTTCTCGTGTATTATCTCGAGCCGGATTTAAATTTTCATTATGTAATTTTGCAATTAATTTTCCTGTTTTTAACAACGTTCTCAATTATTTTTGTTTCAGATACCGGCGTTCTGGAAAACGTTCTGGCTCGAATGCATCGCAGTTTATATTCTCCATCGTTTGGGTTCGTATAATAGTTGTTTTCTAATTTTTCTTCTTTTTGACACAGTATTAATGAAAGGAACGTTGCAACTTGCTCGCAAAAAAACGAAAACTGCGAACATTTAGTTTCGCAGTTCTCTATTTTTTGTAGTTAAGTCTTCGCTCGGAAGAGTTTTCATTAATCACAAAAATAATCGCCCCGATATATCTGCATACATAATATACACGTGATTGCGGTTTACACTTTTGTATCGGAGCGTATTATCGCCAGAGTGAGCATCGGAAAAAATTAATTTGTAGAGAATATTAAAAAATTGTCGTATTTCTTTAATCGTTTCTTCTCGTTGTTGATAGATTTTAAATTGAAAATGTAAATAGAACGTGTTAACATTCTTTCAATTGTCGACAATATAGCGAATCTTGCGCGACAATTCCGCGTAAAACAAAGAAGAATCGGGGAGAAAAAGGTCGAGAAAGACATTCCGATATCAAATATTAACATCGAACGTCATTCCGACACGAATGGCCGAGCTATAAGGGGGGACGATCACTTCCGGAGTGTTAAATATCAATAACCTCCGCGACACCTCTTCCCGTAGCACTCGCCAGAGACACAGTCCCAAGCTTTTCTCATCGCGATCCGATTTCCCTCTTTCTAAATAATAAAGTCTAGACATCTTTATGTCGCGGCTTCTCTCGCCGAATAAACTCTCGTGGCGAGAATAAAATTGCTCGTTTACGATAATCCGCTTCCCTTCTTCACAAGGCAAGGGAGTCGTTTTCTCCCGTCTTCCTCGGGATCCCTCGTCTCTTCGCACGATCGCCTTTCCGAGAAACAAACGATTCGTTATTCTTCTGAATGAAACACGAGGAGAATTTACGGTTTTGTGCGACGACAGAAGCCGATAAAAGCCTGCCCGGTTGGTTGGTGTAGGAATGAAAAGAGGGCGGGAATGGTAGGCTTTTAAGTAGGTGCCTTTTTCGACGAAGTGTTTAGCGCGAGCCGAATAGGCCCCCATATAGACCCCGTGAGCCGGTCGATGGACGACCGCGCGCATACACAAGGTGTATCCCCGCCGGGTAAGTTATCCCGGCCTCGGGAAGACCTTTGTGTGCGATATATTAAATAAAGCGGTGAGACATAATACACATATCAAAGCATATAAAAAGGGAAACAAATTTGTTTTGGATTTTATAATATGTGTATGCGTATATTTCTAAGAAGATATACAAATCAGCAATAAACCGCGCGAAGTAACTTCGAGCTTGAGATAACCCGCTCGTTAGAGAACGCGAGGTCACGGCACTTAGCTGGTCGGATCTCAATTACAGAGAATTCCTAAAGATCGATATATCATTACTTTTTATCCAATGTTTTACTTTTACATAAAATTTATCTAAAATAATAATAATAGACATATAAAAGAACACATTAGATGGAAAATTTATTTAACATGAAGATATTAATAAAATGTTCTTAAGTGGTCGTCATTACCCCGTTTTCGTCTTTCATTTGATCAGCCGAAGAGACGCGATCACGAAACATTGAGAAAGTTCAATCAATTGATGAGGCATTCCTCGAAGTTGGACAAATGTTTGAGAGAGATACATTCCACAAAAAGTGACGCAGGCATATAATAAATATTATCTTACATACTGATTCTATCTTCGGCTATAAAATAGCCGTAACATCGGCTATTTTATTTTCCACGTGAGGTATTCATTTTGTATACGTTCATAAATTTGAATTCTTTTTATGCGCGTTTTTCTCGATAGCAATTACATTGTAACCACATCGGCCATTCGAGAAGCTTTTGTATTTCTTCGGAAGGAGTCTTGTGCACGTTGCGTCTCGTCGTTCTCCCCTGTGTCTTCGCCAATATCTGTGTCCCATCTCGGCATACCTCGGCGGTCGTGAAAATGCCTTCCGCTATAGATCCGGAACACCCTATATATACGCGTATATTTGTCCCCGGCCAGCGTGTACGTGTGTGTGTCGGTACACACACGCGCGAACTGCCTTTTTCCGCTTTCCGATTGGCTATCGCGGCCCGTCATCGATTTTTCTCTCTGTATGCGTATCAAGATATGTAAATACGGCTTATATCACACACATGATAGCCCGGCATTGTATCGTCGTCGTTTCGGAGGAGATCGTGAATTAGACGCGCCGCGATAGGGGGAGCGGATAATGTGTTCATCGGCCCGACGAAAAACGTATTTGTCCAGGGTGGCTCGTTTATATTTAAATAAGTCAAATGCTTGATTCTCATATTTTACATATTTATACACAACAAGTCTCTCGCCTCGTTCTGAACTTTTTTTTTCTTCTGGATGCACATGTTGCGGCGCGCGGGCGCTCCTTACATACACACGTACGTAAAACGTGGCGAGTGTATACAAAGAACGAGATACCTAACTACGGTTCTCGGAATTTTAACGCAATGGAAAAATAAGGTGCGTGTGTCTTTTCAACCGGCGCGCGAGACTAGAAATATTGTTAATAATAACAAGCACACACAGAGCGAGAGCTCTGTGTGCTTTCTTTTCTATTGGATTTTTTTTTTTTTCGATTCTACACGGGATAAAGTCGGGAAAATAGTCAAGCTAAACATTTAAATACATCAAACGGTTATTTTACGCGTTCCCGTTCGCGATGCGAGTATGAGTCGCGAGTTATTTCCGAAAATAATTCGCGATACGCGTCCGTTGTGGAAAAACGTACTTTTTTTTTCTCCTCTCCGTTCCCCATTTTGACCGAAACGCCGTTAAAAATGACGTTGTCACAACTGACACGGTTATATACAATATGTATATGTATAAGTAAGTTGCAAATAAAATCTCTGCACAATTGAAAATATAAGTGCGAAAGTGTTTGACACGCAGATGTTTACAAAATGCCTCTTCACGCTGCATATTCATCGGATTGCCGTCGCGCTCTCAAGAGTGAATCGACGTGCAGCAGTTCGGGCGTGCTAACGCGATATTGTTACTCACCGTGCACACGATTGTCGAAGACAATTGCGTCGGGAAACGACGACGATTGATTTATCGGCGACATTACAATTCGCGAAATTGTTTGATCCGAGCTACACACACACACACACACACACACACACACACACACACACACACACACACACTCACGTATATCCGATTGGAGAGCATGGCTCTTCCTTCTTCGCCCCGTCGCACGCAAATCGCCGAAACAAATGGCTCGCAGAATCACGAACTATTTTATTACCTCTCCGAGTTTCCGCGAAAATTGCAATTTACGAATTTTCTAATCTTGTCGAGTTTTATTCATTTGAAATTTCTCGTGAAATTTTTAATTTGCGAAAAATGAAACTTCAATTTAGAAAATTACAGTTATTTAGAAACGGATTTAGAAACTCAAATATACTTTTTTGCATGTGAGAGAGAGAGAGAGAGAAAAAGAGAACACAGCTTTAATGGAGTCGCTGATGTTGTAAGGAGATGGATGGAGAATTTATCACGAAAATTCGCGCGCGATTATAAAGAGGCGTTGTTAATCCGCGGCGCTATCAATTTTAAACGCAATCTGCGTAGCGCGCGATATAGATTCGGGAGAGAGGGATTCATCTCGAATTTTTGAAATCTGCCGACTTCGAAGCAAATATTTACACCGCCGTCCATTTATTTTTTACGTCTCTTTAAACTGCACGTCGATTATAAATCCTCTTGTGGTATATAATGACAATATTCGCAATGTTTTCCGAGTTAATATTGCCATGCGAAAACTACCGGGTTTAATTATGCAATATTTAACAAAAATTATTCAAACTTTCAGCAGAAAAAATTGTAAAGCTGTGTGTGAAAATGAAAGGAAGATAATAAATATCGGTGAATAAACGGTGAAACGCGAAACGACACACACACGTGTGTGTGTCGTCAACTGTAAATAATTACGGATATTTGAAAAAAGGTACACAAAATTTTTTTTTTTTGTGTAATCACAAACACACATAGAATGAGGGAAGTGAAGCAGAAAGAAAATTTATACGTTTGGAGAATTATCTATTTCTGGGTGCAAGCGAAATCAAGTTTATTTGCATATTACAAAGAAAGTATGAAAATATGACGAATGTTCTTGGCACTCGTATCGAATATCCAGTCTATAATTCATGGAAATTCTCGGCGAACGTCCAATGAGCTTGCCCGAAAATCCGCACATTAATCAATCTACGTGGTATATAAAACAAGTAACATTCTGCGTTTGCGAAATAAACGCTATTTTATTTATTTTACTTTCGCCATTACCCCTGCATCATTATTCACGCAATCGTACGTAAACGCTCTCGGAGAGACGCGCGCGCACGGCTTTTTTGTTCCTCCGACGGTGACACCGGCGTGGGTAGGTAGGTAGGTAGGTAGGTAGGTAGGTATGGTTAATGCAGTGTTTATGTCGTTATTTTCGAAATTAATTGGCCTTTGAAGTCGAAGAGAGGCGAGCGCGCCGTTAACGTTATCGAATCAATCATAGTCCGTTACCTCGGCGACATATTAGTAGTTAGTACGACGCGGGCTGTTTGTTGGTGGATTCATTAACGACAGGTTCGCCGCTTCGGTTTCTTTCCGTAAACGCTGTTTGTTTGACAATCAAGCTGTTTGTCTACTGCATTTAATTGCCTCTCGGCGTATATATATATATGTACCCTACGAAAGATATTTCCGCCTTCCGCTATCACAATGCGCGATTTTGTATTCTTTGACCGTATCAAGAAAAGCAATTCTCTCTTTTTGTGAGAGCGCACAAAGAGTTCGTAATTAAGATATTTGACGTTAAAGAAGAAATTATTATCAAAAGAGAAAACTTCATTGTATATATACGCGTTTTTTATTTTGTGATAATATTATATGCAAGAGAGTATATATATATGTACGGATAATACATAATCCTCTTTCCATTTTCGTTGTTGAATAGGGCGAAATGTGTGTGTATTATGTGAACAGTTGAATAGAGAGGGAGTACATCAAGTAGATCTTCTTTTCAAAGTATGC